TTTTTTTGAGATGGAGCCTCACTCTTGTTGCCCAGGGTGGAATACAGTGGCACGATCTCAGCTCACTGCAACCTCCACCTTCATGGGTTCAAGCGATTCTCTCCTGCCTCAGCCTCCCAAGTAGCTGGGATTATAGGCGACCGCCATCACACCCAGCTAAGTTTTGTGTTTTTAGTAGAAGTGGAGTTTCACCACGTTGGCCAGGCTGGTCTCAAACTCCTGACATCAGGTGATCCTCCCGCCTCGGCCTCCCAAAGTGCTGGGATTACAGGCGTGAGCCACCTTGCCCGGCCACTTGTTTTTTGAGATGGGGTCTCACTGCGTCACCCAGGCTGGAGTACAGTGGTGTGATCTTGGCTCACTGCAGTCTCTTCCACCTGGCTCAAGTGATCCTCCCACCTCAACCTCCTGAGTAGCTATGACTACAGGCACGCGCCCACCAAGCCCAGCTAATTTTGTTTATTTTTAGTAGAGATGGGATCTCGAGATGTTGCACAGGCTGGTCTTGAACGCCTGGCCTCAAGCAATCCTCTTGCCCCAGCCTCCCAAAGTGATGAGATTACAGGTGTGAGCCGCTGTGCCCAGCCTCTCTTACTATCTTTATTGTGTTGTTGTTTTTTGTTTTGATTTGTTTTTGAGACATAGTCTCTCTCTGTCACCCAGGCTGGAGTGCAGTGGCACAATCTCCGCTCAGTGCAACCTCTGCCTCCTGGGTTCAAGCAATTCTGTCTCAGCGTCCCAAGTAGCTGGGATTACAGGTGTGTGCCACCAAGCCGAGCATCTTCCTATCTCCGATTCCTGTCCCCTACCTCCTTTCTGTCCCAGGGTGATGTCTGGTGGTGTCTGTTCACCCCACCACTACCCCAGGCCTTTATTTTCATGTCTCTTTCCTTTTTCCCCTCTGTCTCCTGTCCCTCTCTCTCCGGGTGTTCTTTCTCACCAGGCTGAGGCTGGATTTGTGTCGATTCCGGTCTGGTTGTCTGGGCTTGCTGGAGCTCCTTAGAGGCCTGTATAAAGGAAAACTACCTCCAGGTTTGGAGTCTGTGCCATCAGACCCCTCATTTGTTCCTCAAATGGAGCAATGATTATGTATGAGGGCTGTGGATAATGCCAGAAACTAGACGATTTAGGTCCCCTTTCTCCTTTGAGGACTAGAAGAACATCTCCAACTCCACTCCCGTTTCTTAGCAAGCTTGAAGCTCATCCTCAATTCCCCGAGGCCCGGTTGCCGCCCTAGTGCATGCTGGGAACTGTAGTCCCATCTTTGAGCACCCCGCCAAAATCCCCGAATACCCAGAGATCCGGGGGTCCGGTCACTGTGCACCTGCAACAGCAGCTCCTCAAATCGCGCCGAATCAGCACCCATCGTCTCCGCCTCGCTTAGCTCCAGTGCCAGCTGCTTCGGGTTCGCCATAGTCCTGGGAAAGAGATCTAGGCGTCCTCGGGACCCTCAAGGTGGGGAACTTTGCCCAGGATCCGAACCCTGGTTCCTGCTCTGGTCCTCAATCGACTCCGGATACCTACTATCGTGTTCAGAAACCTATGACTGGCCTGAAACTACAATTCCATTCAAGATCAAACACCGTCGTCAAATCCGTTGGGAATCTGTATCTCTAGATGCAGTCTCCGTCCTACGTTCCGAATCGTAAATGAAACCACACTTCCGGACTCTACGTAAACACCGCACTGGAGTAAGCCACGCTTCCGAGTACCCCAACGCTCATTCACAACCTGGTATCGCGTTATCAACAAGCCACGCCTTTCGCATCAATCAATCAAAAATAAACCCAGAGGCGAATCCTAACGCCACACTTCCTGTGTCTATGAAAGCCACACTTCCGGCCGGGCGCCGTGGCTTATGCCCGTAGTCCCAACACATTGGCAGGCCAGGGCAAGAGAATCGCTTGAGGCCAGAAGTTCGAGACCAGCCTGGGTAACACCGTGAGCTAACTCCCCCCCCCCACCCCGCCAACCCCCAGCCCCATCTCTTTAAAAAAAAAAGCGCCACACTCCCACTCTTTCCACAGCCAAGACTGGCCCCGTTACTTTCGAGTGAAGGCTGCATTTTTCAAAATCTTAATCTCAATGTCTATCCTAAAAGGCACCCTTTTTATTTTTGAATTATCACTTCGTGCCAGTTCTAGATCCAGACCCCTACTAAATATAATTAGAATTAAAAGCTGCACTTTCGGACTCGGAGGCCGAGGTAGGAGGATCGCTTGAACCCAGGAGTTCGAGACCAGCCTAAACAACATAGCGAGACCTTGTCTCTACAAAAAAATATTAACCAGGTTTGATGGCATGCGCCTGCAGTCCCAGCTACTGCAGGCTGAAGCGGGAGAAGCGTTTAAGCCCGGAAAGTCGAGGCGTCACTGCACTCCAGCCTGGGTGACAAATCCTGTCTCAAGAAAATAAAAAGTAAAATAAAAGCTGCACTTCCTGCTACCATAAAACAAGGCAGTAGGAAGACGCATCAAAACGCCGACCCTTCTTTTTTTTAATTATTATATTTTTTGAAACAGGGTCTTCCTCCGTCGGCCAGGCTGGAACTAAGGTGGCACCAGATCGGCTCACTGTAACATACGCCTCCTGGGTTCAAATGGTTCTCCCGCCTCAGCCTCTGGAGTAGCTAAGATTACAGCCGTGTTCCACCACAGCCCGGCTAATTTTTATTGTTATTATTATTATTATTATTATTATTTTGAGACTGAGTTTCGCTTTTGTTACCCAGGCCGGAGTGCAATGGCGCGATCTCGGCTCACCGCAACCTCCGCCTCCTGGGTTCAGGGAGCTGCCTCAGCCTCCTGAGTAGCTGGGATTACAGGCACGCGCCACCATGCCCAGCTAATTTTTTGTATTTTTAGTAGAGACGGGGTTTCACCATGTTGACCAGGATGGTCTCGATCTCTTGACCTCGTGATCCACCCGCCTCGGCCTCCCACAGTGCTGGGATTACAGGCTTGAGCCACCGCACTTGGCCTTATTGTTATTTTTTTAATTGAGATGGAGTCTCGCTAAAAGGTTAGAGTGCAGTGACGCGAACTTGGCAACCTCCGCCTCCCGGGCTCAAGCGATTCTCCTGCCTCAGGCTTGCGAGCAGTCGGGACTACAGGCACCTGCCACGACACCCAGCTAATTTTTGTATTTTTAGTGGAGAAGAAGTTTCACCATATTGGCCAGACTGGTCTGGAACTCCTGATGTTCTGATCCGCCCGTCTCGGCCTCCCAAAGTGCTGGGATTACAGGCGTGAGCCATCACATTTTTAAGTAGAGACGAGGGTTTCACCATATTGGTCAGGCTGGTCTCGAACTCGCGACCTCCGGTGATCGGTGATTCGCCCACCTGGGCCTCCCAAAGTGTTGGGATTACAGCCGTGAGCCACAGCGCCCGGCCACGCGCCGACCCTTCTAAATCCAGAGCCCTCATAACTATTCGCAAGGGACCCACATCGCCGGCTCCCCTTCCTCCCCGTTTTTTTTTTTTTTGTTGTTGTTTTTTGTTTTTGTAATCCTCCCCGTTTTAAGCAGTGAGCATGCTCCTAACTACGCTTCCGGGTGCGGGACATGGGTGGGGCCCTCGCGTCCTAAGGCAAAAAATATGGGCGTGGCTGCCCGCTGTATCTCGTAGCCCCGCCCCATTCTAATTAATCCTGCCCCTTTGGGTTGGAACAGGAGGTGTCGTCCTTTGGCCCTCAAGGTTCCCCTTAACACAGAGCGCCCTGCAGTCTTCGTGGAAAGCGTTCCGGGCAGGCGATGGCTGCGACGCGTGCAGCGCCTCACGCCCGCGAGATCTTCACCTCGCTGGAGTACGGACCGGTGCCGGAGAGCCACACATGCGCACTGGTAAGAGCCTGCCCGGCCCGCGCTGCAGGCTGTGTTCCGCAGCCCTGGGCTCCCGGTTTTTAGCGCGGACTCCCGTCATCCATTGCGGCAGCTCAGCAGCTCCGCCTCTTTCAGTCCCCGTGATTCCCGCCGCCCAATAGGATCGCGCCCTGGGAGACGCTTCCTTGAGCTTTGGCGGTGGCTGCTTCAGCGTTTTGGTCTGTTGCCATCATCCTCAGTGGTTTCTTGCCCTTTGGTCCCGAACTCTTCATGGTGTTTCCGCGTTTTTCCCGAACTCCTCTATAAGCTCTTGTGATTCCTCAGGGCCCCCTCAGAACCTGACGCGATCCCCCAGCCCCCTTAGGATTCCTGTGGGGCTCCGGTGACCCACAACCCCCACTGTCTTTCTACGACTCCTCAAAACATCCTAGGGCTTCCATGATCCTCCGGAGCCCCCAGACCTCCCGAGGGACTCCCTTGATCCCCTTGAGTACCCGGAGACCTTCAGAACTGCCATGGAGCCCCCGTGATACTCGTGGGGCTCATGTGACCTCATGGGAACTTTGAGGGGCCTAGAATACAACAGGACTTCCCGGTTTGTTTTTTGTTTTGTTTTGGCTTTTGAGCCAGGGTCTCTGTCGCCCAGACTGAAGTCCGGTGGCGCAATCACAGCTCACTGCAGCCTCGACCTCCTGGGCTCAAACGATCCTCTCTCACCTCAGCCTCCCGAGGAGCTAGCTGGGCCTAGAAATGCGCACCACCATTCCCAGCTAGTTTTTATACTTTTCGTGGAGACAGGGTTTCAGCATGTTGGTCAGGCTGGTCTCGAACTGCTGGCCTCAAGAGATCTACCCATCTTGGCCTCCCCAAAGTGCTGGGATTACAGGGGTGAGCCACGGCGCCCAGCCACATCAGGACTTCCTGCAGTTACTTATGGCCCCTCATAATACCCTCATGGGGCTCCTATGATCCCTCTAGCTCTCAGAAGGTCCCATAGGGTTCCCATGATCGTTTAGGACCCCCCTGAAGTCCTCATGAGGGTCCCATGATCCCTTGGGGGTCCTCAGACCCTCCCTAGGTCTCCCATGATCCCTCAGAGGCCCCCAGCACCTTCGGGGGGTTCCTGCAAATAATTAGGGCACCTCAAACTTTCTGTCATTTCCCCAGGTGCTCTCAGAATTCCCTCACGGAGCTCTCATGATCCCCAGGGTCCCCAGCACCCAGTGGGAGGAGCTTAGTCTTCTTTGAATGGGAGGGCAGGAGACCAGAGCAATGGTCCAAGTGGAAGGAACTGGATCAGAAGCCTGGCACAGCCCAGCACATGGGGAGGCCGAGATGGGAGGCTCACCTGAGCTCAGGAATTTGAGACCAACCTGGGCAACATAGTGAAACCTGGTCTCTACTAAAATAAAAAACATTGCAGCTACTTGGGAGGCTGAGGCAGGAGAATCGCTTGAACCCTGGACACGGAGGTTTGGTGAGCCAAGATTGCACCATTGCATTCCAACCTGGGCAACAAGAGCAAAACTCTGTCTCAAAAAAAAAAAAAAAAAAATTGGGCTGGGCACAGTGGCTCACACCTGTAATCTCAGCACTTTGGGAGTCTGAGGAGGGCAGATCACCTGAGGTCAGGAATTCAAGACCAGCCTGGCCAACATGATGAAACCCCGTCTCTACTGAAATACAAAAATTAGCTGGATGTGGTGGTGTGGGCCTGTAATCCTAGGCACTCAAGAGGCTGAGGCAGGAGAATCGCTTGAACCTGGGAGGCGAAAGTTGTAGTGAGCCGAGATTGCACCACTGCACTCCAGCCTGGGCAACAGAGCGAGACTCTGTCTCCAAAAAAAAAAAAAAAATACAAAAAAAAATTAGCCAGGTGTGGCGCTGCATAGCTGTAGTCCCAGCTACTCAGGAGGCTGAAGTGGGAGGATCACCTCAGCCTGGGAGGTGCAGTGATCATACCACTAAACTCCAGCCTGGGTGACAGAATGAGACCCTGTCCCCCCCAAAACAAATTAAGTTGGCTGGGCACGGTGGCTCACGCCTGTAATCCTAGCACTTTGGGAGGCCAAGGTGGGTGGATCACCTGAGGTCAGGAGTTCAAGACCAGCCTGGCCATCATGGTGAAACCCCATCTT